CAGAAATTGTAGATTTTTCTTCTGATTCTGATTCTGATTCTGATTCTTTTCGTCAACACTTACAATTAGCTAATAGGAGCTAAGGCCATTCGTCGATTCGTCGACTCTCCGAATCAGTCGGCAAGGCTCGTCGGTCGGAATTGTAATATGGCTGTCACTCATGCCGCTCGTTCATTTCTAACCTGTAACTGTTAGTTTGCATTTGTGACATTTGGTTTCTTGCAACAAGACTTTCTGACATGCATTGTGCGTACTTTTGAAAACTTAAAGGACTGAAACTGGAATTAAAATACAATAAATTGTGCGTTACCAATAGTGGATCTCTTTGTACATTTTTCCACTTTATGTATTAACATTTGCATTTGTTCAACAAGATTTTCTGCCACGCGTTGTGCGTACTTGTGAATTTTATTCTAATACAATAAATTGTGCGTTACATATAGTGGATCTCTTTCTTTATTTCTCATTTCATGTTTAACATTTCAATTTCTAGCAACAAGACATTTTGCGATGCGTTGTGTGTACTTTGGAAACTTAAAGGACTGAATCTGGTATTGTAATATAATAAATTGTGCGTTATTCATATGACATTAATCTTATTTGTAAATAATACATACAAACCTTATTTTACTTGCAAGTTAATATAGAGCTTAAAATAAAAATACATTTGTCTTTTATTATAGTAAGCGTAGAGTCTACAATATACATAATGTGTCTGAAGCCAGATATAGGAAAGAGACCAGCTTCAGTTCTTGAAGTTTCCAAAAGTATACAGAACGCATGGCAAGATGTCTCACTGCAAGAAATTTCAATGTTAAAGATGAAGCAAGAAATTAAAAAAAGAAATCAACTATTTGTAACACATAATTTATTGTATTAGAATAAAGTTCAGAAGTATGCAGAACGCATGGCAGAAAGTCTTGTTGCAAAAAATTCGAATGTTAAAGATAAAGCGAGAAATGAAAAAAAGAAATCCACTATTTGTAACGCACAATTAATCGTATTGCAATATCAGTTTCAGTCGTTAGAATTTTCAAAAGTACACACAATGCATGGCAGAAAGTCTTGTTGCATTTAAATGTTACTGATAAAGTGATTACATTTTTTCTTTAATAAATTTCTTGCAATGAGACTTCCTGCAATGCGTTCCGCGTACTTTTGAAACCTTAAAGGATTCAAACTGATCTCCCATTTTCTATTATTTGAAGTCATTCACTATAGAAATTATCTGCGTAAAAAGAAGTGAGATCCCCATAAAAAAAACTTCAATAAAGTAAGAAAATTACGCCAAATTCCCGTAACAAAATTCAAGAAAGTAGAAAAAGAAGTGAAATCCGAATGAGCTGGCAGTACATGAAGGTGCTTTTCAGCAAAGTGCAAAGCTGACACTGTATAACACAATGAAAAATTCGGTGCTTTCCAACCATGCGCAGCTAAAATGCTGTGTTCAACACTGCAGACGTTCAGACCCTAATGACAACTCATGTAAACTGACTGCTCCGCACTTTGGCGGTGAAATGAAGAAGCTAAATAGTGTATCAACCACAAACTGAGACTCTTTAGACATATGCCTAGATGTCCGTGGCCTGGAAGTCGAATGCTTGGCATGGCCAGGCAAATCATTCTCAGATCATCAAGACCCATACTTTCTCTCTCGCAGACTTTCACATAATTTGTCAATTTAAAACATGGACAATATGAGTACATTTTCATTTTATTGTATTTCAAAATATTTCTACGGACATTCATTGACGCAGATACCCCTCTTCTCACAGGCTTTCAGATAATTAGTTTAAAACGCTGACAATATGAATACATTTTCATTATTTTACCTTTTAGAATAATTCTTATTCATCAAAACCTTGGCCTTGCCTTGACCTCATTTAGCTTTAATGGTTTTACCCGATTTTTATTAGTTTTCAAGCTATAACGCTTCAAAGTTTGCTAATTTTCAAGGAAAAAAACTCGTTTCGGTCCTGGGCGGTTCCATTGATGCAGTAAGCACCATGGGGTTCTTGAAATCGATACGGAGGAAAATGGGAAGAATCCCAATATTCTGGGCCTAGAATCCCAAGGGAGACCCTCCGTTAGGCTGTGAAAGATTACTAAGATATTTAGTGATAGAATTCATTTCATAGGGATATCGTTAGGTCTGAAAATTTTAGAGAGATGGATTGCGAATGTTTCGGCTTTATTCTGGTTGTCCTTAGCCCATGAGATGTTTTCTTTTATTATTTCTTATTATCAATATTTTCTTACAATTTTTTTGTAATTGTCCAAAGTGAATAGTTATCTTCTTGATTAGGAAAAAGATTGCGTATATATTCTTGAAGGCGCTCATTTTTTATTTTATGTAGCAATTTTTTTAATTCGGCGGATAATTTGTTCAATTTTTTTTATCTTCAAGACGTCTAGAGTTTTCTCATTTTTTTCCTGGTGTTTCTTTCTTCTGCTATTTTATTCCTTACAAATAGAGGGAACACGGGGTGTCCTCAAGGCATCCCTCCTCTCTTTTGCGATGCAGAACACGCTCCACATAGTGCGCAACTGCTTCCCATTCGCCCGATCCTCGTAACATCACCCCCACGATGTTGTCGAGTGTGACGTCTCCTACGAGGATGCAAAGCTCGAGCCTTTTTCTGGCGAAGTGGTCGCACAAGAGGAACGTATGAAGCACGTAGTCCTTTGCTGCGTCTCAATACCGCCATCTCGGAGATCCGACCTTGACCATCCTCGACAGGTATGCACGGAAGTATTCATGGTCTGTGAGGAAGTGGGTGAGATAAAAATTTGCCTCACCGTGGGCTTTAGATGTCCAGGTGGTCAGCTCTCCTATCAGCGGAGTCGTCCACCGGCCCGGCTGTGAAGTCTCCCAGCGTTACTATCATGCGCGCTCGTGGGACACGGCTCCGAGGAGCGTTGGGAGATGTTCTTCTGCTCGAATACAGGCAGGTCGATGGGTATTACCCCGGCGACTGCTTGCACTGCGCATTCGGAGACGGTCCTGTAGCTGCACGGCACCCGAAGCGCTAGCTGGCACTGTACGGCAGACATGCAGCTTCTGTACTTACGGAGCCGAAGGGCATCCGCTCACATTTCGGCTCTGTACAGCAGGACGCTCTGGGTTGCCGAGAGCAAGAGTGTCCTCTTGCTCGGCTTCGGGCCGCTCACGTTTGCCATTAGTCGGCTAAGTGCTGTCGCCAACGACGCCGCCCTGACCGAGACCCTCCGGATATGTTCCGCGAAGCTGAGCTTGTTGTCCAAGACAACGCCCAGGTACTTCGCGGACTTCCGGGTCTGGATGGTCTCGGTCTCTGCAATCATCGAGACGATGGTGAGGATCCGTCGGCGTGTCAGCATGGCGATTACCGTTTTCGGAATCGCCAGCTGCAGCCCGTGGTCTTCCATCCATCGCTCTACTCGGTACATGACCTGATTCAGCTTGAGCTGAGCGTGCTGTGATGACCACGGTGACGTCGTCAGCGTAGTCGACGAGAAACGAATCCTCTGGCATACCCACGCGGTCTCGGAGATAATCCGTCATCACTGGCAATAGGTAGTCCGGGAGCCGAAACGTTGTTTTCAACGCCTCCAACATGTCCGTCCACCGTGCCGTGCTCCGGCAACGTCGACGGCACCGAAGAGCTCCTCAAAAGGAGCAGCGGGCCATCGACGAAAAGCGCAAGAGGAAGAGCAGGAAAAGACGGCGCCCCAAAATTAAGCGGACCGCTGTCCTCGTAAAGCCGGCCGAGGATGTGACGTACGCGTGCATTGTAGGCGTGATACGTCGTCAGGTTCGGCCAGACGAAGCGGACACGGAACGTACATCAATTTGGCAATCGATTGACTAACAATGAGTATAGTCGAGAAGGTTTTCGGCGCACAGTGTCGGGTTGTTATTGAAAGGCAGACCACGTGTAATTTATTCGAATCGCGAAACAACCGAGCTACAAAATCCATAGACTTTTTAGTATAAGCACTCGACTGCAAAAGTGGTAGGTTTTTAGTCGTATGTTCTACGTGGAAACACGCATTATGGCTCCGCGGTTGCATTTGCCCATAATGGCAGACATCTTAGAAGGGAAGTCTGATAGAAAAGACGAAACAGAGTAAAATCTTTGTACGAAACAGCTTCATCCCCTTATGAAATACTTATCCATTCCGATTTAAACAAAACACCCTGTATAAATGTAATTCCAAGTCCTTACTAATAACTAATCGATTCTTGAACATTTTAATATATTTTCAAATATACTTATAATTTCACAATAATTTAAGTTTTACGTGCTGACGAGTTGTACAGTATGGCTGTTAAATTATTATTTTACATTTAATAGTTATTTTCTATTTTCAGGAAGAAGCTCCAGGAAACAGTGGAATTTATAAAACGGTCTGCTACCGTAATACGAAATTCATCACCAAGTAATATGATATTATATCAGTGCCAAAAAGAGGCTGTAGATACAGATGTACAAAAAGAAAAAGTTATATCTAATCTTCCTAAAGTTGGGGTATGTATATTTTGTAATGCTGGCTTTTCTTTTCATGATATTCACCCTTTGACTGTTGTGCACTCACCATATACATCCGAGTACACATAAGTTGCACCGTGGTACCAATGCTAGCAGCAGAGAAACGATTGTAACACAAGTACTGCATGTGCGCAAGATAGATACGCAAGAGACTACACAGTGGGCTGTAGTCCCACTTTTCATAGCCAAAAGTATTTTAGCATTATTTGAAAGTTTAAGGGTGATAGTGTGGTAGATCGTCGAATTCGTCTCGATAGAGGCCAAAATATTATGAAGTCAAAAATATATATAAATGTTTCAAAAGTCGAAGTCACCCTACTTTTGCAAAACAAACTTTTTTTCAAAATGTTCTTCGAAAAGAGAGAGAGGGAGAGAGGGGGGGGGGAGAAGGAAGGAGGGAGGGAGGGAGAGAGATGATAATTATGTACAGTCCATCTATGAATCTAATTTACTGCATACTTCATATTGACATATACGTACCTCAAATAATGGAGAAATAGACTAAGCTGCTCAGTTTATTACTCAACAGAGTGTCTTTCGAAATCCTACACTTCATGCTGCCCCTACCACCATACCAGATACAATTCCCGGAGCAGAAATAAAAAGTACTTTTTAATAAACTATTTCTTTTGAAAATTTCTCCTTGCGAATAAATGAAATTCTAATAGATAAAAAAAAACAAGTTCATTTCTTCGAAGAAATTAATTTAAAGAATTATTAAAATGCCTTTACATAATAATACAATTGTTAGTTGCATGGTTTATCTTTGGCATGCATGTTGTCGTACGTAACGGAACGTTCTTCTTAATGATTTAAAACTGCCAAGACTACGATCGATGTAGTAGGTGTTTACGATATCGGACCATTTCGCGACTTTATCTACACCGTCAATGATATAAACAAGATCCTTCGTTAATAAATTGTTGCGGAGACATTTTAATAAATGTGGCGGATCAAACTGCGGCACAACTTTTTGAGTATCCACCATGATGAAACGCTCATAGCCTGACAATCCGCTCCGGCGCTGCGTGTCGAAAAGTAACTCCTTCATGGCACGTACGTTTCTTGGCCCCTGATCGCAAACTAAAGCGATAACTTTCAATTCAATGCTAGTACATTTCCGAACTATGGCCTTAAATGTACGTGCAATTGTCGGCCATTGCATGGTACCCTTACAAAAAGAGTATGCCACTCTTTGTTTCCACGGTTTCTCTCCGTGTATGGATCTTACCATCCAAACGAGAGCATGGTCAGCAATGTCGGGACACCGATCGAATCCCGAATCTACAAGTCCCTCGATTAAATCGAATTTGGCGTTATAGTAAAGTCCGGGACTAAGCTTTATTTCATCAAAAGACAACACACAAAACCGTTGGTTGTCATGTTTAAACTTTTGTATCGCGATCGTCATATTGCTGAAGACAATATCGCAAATACCCAGATTTAATTTAATTTTAACGACCACCTTTCTCAATGTCTCGACATTTGGCAAGATAAATACACTGGAAAGATACTGATACCCACGTGGACTTTGCTTTTGTATTGATAGAGCAAATAACTTATCATACAATGTATATGTTCTATGAAATTTATTTTTTTCGACATTTCGGACATTCGAAAGTTGTCCGAAATTTTTTTTTTTAATCGGAAATATTTTTTTCATTTTTGCAGTTAAAATAAATAATATATCCATGATATTTAATGTTTATATAATTGCAATATGTTCTATAATAGTACCTTTTTTTTCTGTGATACTCCAGATGTAGAAGGCACACCAATTGTCTCTTTGGCCTCAGGTGTCGTACTACTGTGCCCATCTGTAACATCCATTACAAATGTTTGACAATTAGATATCTGCTTCATCCACAAATTATCCAATTCTATACATGACATGATAAAATTAAATTAACATTTCCTTACCAGAATGTGTCTGCGATGTTACACTTTCTATTGCATCTGTTGCTTCGATTACTTCAGTAATTCCTTCAGGAATTACTGCAGAAATTGAAGCTTCAACAGTTACAGATTCTATAAAATATAGAAATTATAAATACTAAAATACACTATGAATATGCTTATTTTATGTATACATACTTGGCAAATGAAGCGTTGGCACTGCTGAAGTGCTTAGTCGGATATTTAATTTATAAAAATCTTCAAAGTGGACATCGCAGATTTTCACATTTTTTAATGAAGCCATATCCTGGAGGCAGGGATTATCGCACGCTGTTATCCACTTAAGGCAGCGTTCTCTGTTACTTATAATGTCTGGAAATTGCCGAACCAGATTTCCCTGTGAGGTGCATCCTCTCACTTTACATCTGTTGGAAGGTTTGCTCTTTGCAATGAAAAATGATAAACACCGTTAAGGTGAATAAGAATATATATTTTATTTAATAAATTAAATACACAAGCCCCACATGCTGCGCGCCAATCACACTTAGCTCAACGCCCAACTACCACAGCCACACTACAACAAACGAACAACGCGGGAGATATTCAGCCGGTCTAACCCACGAATGCTTGAATGTTATGCCGGAGTTATCATTAGGTTTAACAACATCTTCTAGGCACCGTAATATTTCACAAAAAAGAAACACAATGAAACCTCGCAAAGTAATCAAACTCACACTGGTCTATCAGACCACCGTCACGTGAGTGATTGTTACTTCGTCATTCAAATGTTTCGCTCTCGCGGGCTTTAAATAACGACGAATACCGGCGCAAACCGACGGCTACCGACGCCGACGCTGAAATTTTCATACCAGTCTGGTGGTACTCACCGATACGCTAGATATGTGCATGTGATGCCTACTAGCGCCGCGTAGATTTGGTTCACCAATTAAAAACGTGGTTTCACTTCCCCGCAACTATACTTGGTCCCCCTGCGTTCGACTGCCTGTCTCGGGCCCTGTGTGCCTTTTAGCGTTTCACTGTAGCACACACTCACCACGCACTCACTCTACGCGTGTCGGAACAATCGCCGGTGAATCAGTCACCACAATATGCTTCTGCACATCCGGGTGAAGAGGAGTTAGATGCTTATACTCGGTTCCTTTAGCAACGGCGATTGGTACTTGCACCAGCTGTTATCACCTTTCAAATAGTCCTCGTGTATCGGATTTTTATCAGTCGAGATCAAATGTTTATACGTGGCCATGATTGCATTTTTTCATATTCTGGAGTGAATCAATATCACGTCGAATAGCTAATCCATAGTATTAGGTAAGTTTTTTAATCTGAACATCCGTTAATTTCCCTTTACCTCCGAGCTTTTCTTTGGTCTTGACATTTCGGAGTCGAGAACCCATTCTTTTTTCAATGTGCCCTATACATTCACTTTTGATCACTGTAAAATCATCGCTGTATGGATTTACTTCAAGAATTCATTGGAAAGTTTTAGAGTCGCCGTCGCCAATATAATTTCCGTATAATTCTTCAAACCGTACAAACATTTCTATAATCACGTCGCCCTTCATTTTTCTTGCTGATCCCTCATGATTCACATGACATTCTTCTTCGTGTTCTTCTGCCCATTTTTTAAAATTCTTTTCCTTATTATTTCAGTGCGTACACATGCTACAGCAACTAGACTTTACAAGAACATCGATCACTTTGCCCGTGTAGTAACCGATAAGTGTCATTACTCCGTACAGTGACGAAAATCCACGCTCCTTCCACGAGCCATCACCAGCAATTTTCAAATCGTTCAAGGGTCTCTCATATTTCTCATTTTCTTTTTGTTCTTCCTGTGCAGCTTTTTTACTCAGATTTAGGAATACAATTTTTCGGCGTCATACATATGGTTCAAAATCAAATAATAAACGGATTTACTAAAACCTTTACCGATATCCATCAAACCACTAAACAAATTTATTCCTTTTAGGCTAATTCCTCAAAAGTCGCATAACGAACACTATTCTTCTATTCACTTCATATGCACTTTGTATAAAAGGGCTAGAATTAATCAATGTTCTTCCACACTTACACTGTACTACAATTTTAAAGGCAAATCCACGGTGTTCTGTTTCTGCAAATGATATTTTGGTAAAAATGCCGAATAGGGGAACTGTTGGATTTTCTCTTCTTTGAAAGAGAAAGTTCTCGTAACAAAAGAACCATCTGTGCGCGTTTGGGTTTCATTCCTAGACACAAGTCAAGAGGGTGCAGCTGCGTCCCATCTTGACTTGTTTAGACAAAGCATGGGATCGATAGGGTCTATGGTTCAGTAACGAAATTCTTCGTTACTGACCTCGTGTTGCATTTAGTCGAGCTGCTTCTTTCGAACTAAACAGACGTACTCTTCTGTGGTCTTCTAATAAAGTTTTTAAAGTCAAGTTAAATAAAAGACTAACTCATTCATTTCGCCGCCTATATTTTCAATAGGTTATGGGCCCAGATTAGTGCGGTGCTATCTGCGTGTAGTGTGGAATAGAAGAGTAAAAAAAAAAAAAATAAAAACTGAAAAGCAAAAACTATAATTGCTGTGTATATAAATATATATAAAAGTGTGTGTATGTTAGTGTAATAATCAGTAGTATAATCCGTAGTGTAATTTTTGCAGTGATTAATTAGTGAATATAAGAAATGGAAGGTGCAAATTTAAAAAGAAACATTAAACCATTTGATGGTGAAAAGTACAGTGTTTGGAAATTTAGAATTCGTGCGTTGCTAACAGAACTAAATTAGTGTTATCAACGACGAAGTTCCGGACATGTTAAGTGAAAAGTGGGTCAAAGCAGACAGAACTGCGAAAAATACAATTATTGAGTATTTGTCGAACTCATTTTTAAGTTTCGCGGAAACGAACAATAGTGCAAAACAAGTGCTAGAAAATTAGGACTCTATATATGAGCGAAAAAGTCTCGCTATACAATTAGCATTACGGAAAAGACTACTAACGTTAAAATTAAAAAGTGATACACCACTGGTCAAACATTTTTCAGTGTTTGACAATATTATATCGGAGCTTGCAGCAGCGGGTGCAAGACTGGAAGAGACGGACAAAGTGTCTCACCTTTTATTAACTTTGCCTCCTTCATATGACGGTGTAATAACAGCTATAGAAACACTGTCGGAGAATAGTTTAACGCTGGCATTCGTGAAAACAAGACTTCTGGATCACGAGATAAAATTAAAGGATGATTCTCGTGACACAAATCTGAAAGTACTCCAAACGAATAGGCATCAAGTGCAAAAAAGAATAAATTTTCAAAGTGCAAAAGTGTTCAAGAAAAATCCAGAAAGAAAATTTAAACCAAATAAATCAAGTGCTGTAAAATGTCGCCATTGTGACAGGAAAGGCCATTTTAAAAAGGATTGTTTTTATTATAAGAAAACAATTCAACACCAAAATGAAAAAGAAAAGACTGTACAAACGGTGCAGGTGACAAATTCATCGTGTATATCCGAACACGATACCCCCAGATTTACATTCATGGCTGGGGATTTTGATCAACAAACAAATGGAAACAGTATAATGTTTCTACTTGATTCGGGCGTATCAGACCATCTGATAAATAGAGAAGATTTGGCGTAAAATTTTCAAGTCCTGGAAACGCCAATAAAAATTTCCGTGCAAAGAACGGGACATTTATTGCTGAGACAAAGAGAGGGTTGCTGAACGTCGTCACCAACAAGGGCGTCCCAGGTACCATAGAGGATGTGTACTACTGCCCAGACGTACCCTACAATTTATTGTCGGTACGCCGAATGCAGCAGGCCGGAATGACCGTAACCTTCGATGAAGAAGGCGTAAAAATATGCAAAAGTGGTAAAGTCATCATATCAGGTAAGCCACTGAACAATTTAACTGGTGTAGAATTTATGGTTTGTTCAAATAAAGTAAATTCAACAATAGTCTTGAATAAAACCAGTAATTATGAATTATGGCATCAACGGTTAAGTCATATCGGGAAAAATAAATTCTTAGAATTGAAGAATAAAAGAATGTTTTTAGACATGGATAAATTACCAAAAGTTAAAGTCCATGATAAATTATGCGAAGCTTGTATAAATGGAAAACAAGCACGATTACCGTTCAGAAATACAAAAGACAAAAGTCATGTAAAACGACCATTGTTCATAGTACATACTGATGTCTGTGGTCCTATTACTCCTTCAATAATTAATGACAAAAATTATTTTGTTCTTTTTGTAGACGAATTCACTCACTATTGTGTTACGTACCTGATTACACATAAATCAGATATACTTTCAGTCTTTCAAGACTATGTAGCAAAGAGTGAAGTTCATTTTAATTTGAAAATTGTCAATTTGTATTGTGACAACGGGAGAGAGTATTTGTCAAACGAGATGAAGGGATATTGTGTAGAAAAGGGTATTAGTTATCATTTAATAGTTCCTTAAACTCCACAGTTAAATGGTGTATCGGAATGTATGGTAAGGACAATAACCGAAAGGGCTCGTGCAATGGTTCCCGGGGCAAATTTAGAAAACTGTTTTTGGAGTGAAGTCGTTCTTACTGCAACGTTTCTGATAAAGGGTATAGCCGGGGTTTGGGGGTCAAAAGTGCCCTTAGACCGA